AACATTTAAGCATTTATAAAGGATTTTTTTTTTAACCACAATTCTCTGTGGCTTTCATAATTTATTACTCTATGCCACCACAGGTCGTTGAGCTCCCAAATAGACCAAGTTGATGGTTTGGTAAATCTTTTTTTAAAACTAGCCTAGGTGTCAAGTTAAACAAACACTCTAAATCGAAAAACCAACTACGAAGAGTTCTAGTTAAAGATATCCTTTGTTAGGTACAACGACCTGACATAATCATAGATTAATATCAGTAGCTAGAAGTTCTAGTCTAGAATTAACATTATCATTATGATTACTGTCGTTAGAGATCTCTCGGTATTGCTGTGTAAATCTTGAGCATGATGATAACAAAAAAGATCATAATAATACACCCAACGGTACAATATACCGTTGAAAATATTAATTGCATAATATGCAATTAATGTTTTCCGTAGTCTGAAAAGAAATCACTGCAAGTACTACGTTCGCTGATTTTAAATGATCAATTATCACATAATAATGTATTATAAATAGTGTGCTCCACTACACTAATAAAAAATTTTGATTATTACACATATTTTTACAACGCACATTTACTATGTACATGCTATTTATCAGTAATCAATTTGTATAGTAAATTATGAAATAGACCAGCTATTGTAGCTATCACAATTAGCCTCACACGGCACTACAACTATAATCACACGTTCGGCTAGTTTCGTGTTATCCTACTGGAAGGTATTTTGATCTGCAACATATTCATCCCTTTGAGGACACATCGGTTTGTTTATTCTTAACATGCTACGATAACAATGTTAATGCAATTGAAATATAGTCTGTAACTTGTGCCAAAATTTGACAAAAAAGCATAGTAATTTCGCGTTTAACTAGAACACATATACAAGAATGTTTATTAATCAAGTGAAACGTATGTAATTATGCGATTTAAATGAAACAAGACTTCATAGTGTATAAAAATGTCAAGTGACTGTGGGTTGACGGTTGAGATTAAACCATGAAGAAAGCTCTTGGGAAAATAAATGCAATAATAATAAAACACTGAAAAGCGGCGTGGAAGTCTTCCAGAAAGGATTTGGTGGGTATGGCTCACGTCCAAAAATCGCGTTTAGGGCAAAAAATAGAACTCTGGCACAACAAATCATACAAGTGCGTATTACATTCTCTGGTCAATGAATTACGCGGTAGCGTCGGTGGTTAAGGCAAAATGAATCCGATTTAATCCTAAGAGATAAGTCGATCTTATAGCCATAGACAGTTTTATACGTTTTCAAAGAAATAGGACTGCATAATAAAGTTAAACTGTGTGACTGCGTTGTCCTCGTTCGGTAGTATTAAGAAGGACATCTTTTGATCTATGTGTTCAAATCCTCATGTATGTTTACAAAGCATTCTTTTGCATTGTAAAGACAATTTAGTAAAATTTAAATAATAATAGTTAATTTGTAGTTGGGCGGTTTTATTACTACTTCGTAATTAAAACTCATTCATTTGGAAACGCCTAACGTCAACTACAATATCATGTATTTATATAAATCGTAATACTTTCTGTTTCCGTATGACGACATATTAGAAAACTTACAATTTTATTTCTTAGTAATTCAGTCAAACTACTCCGTTATCCATTTTATTGTATTTCACTTACTAACGTGGGCAGTCTTTAATTATATTTTGCAATGGACATATGTACCGGTCATCGTGTAGTCATTGGGATTCACGACAGAAACCTTGAGCCATTTTTTAATTCTCTCACCTTAATCATTATGCCGATTATTCTTAAACACGTACTAATTTATTTGAAAATCTTAAGAAAAGTGAACTTGATATACTAGTTATAAAATTTAAAACAAAATGTCTTTTGTCAAACATTTTTGTGATATTTAAATTTGAATATAGACGAACATTCACCATAAAAATGTCAACAAAACCAAAATGAAATGAAATAGTTTTTTGGAAAGATTCGTTGGTACACCTCATCAAGACTTCCGTCTCGAGATTAGGCTCAAACGGTTATACTTTTTAATAAATTTAAAAAGTAAACGGAACCAGACTATGTGATTAAAATTATAACCTTGATCTACTTTCGCGACTTGGTTGGCAGTCCGGTTCAATGGTTTTCAAATAGTCGACTGAGTGTATACATCAATGTAAATGCATTACCTCTCCTTTTCTATTAACTAGAATTGATTATAAGAGCGCACGACAATCTATTACTAAAAGATGCAAAATAGATAACCAAATATTATCATGATAGATGATCTATGTAATTGTATTCGTTGTAGGAACTTTAGAAGATACAAGTTACGCAACAATGTTGAGGATCACCCAAGTTAAAAATCCCGGATCCGGATGTATTTATTAACATTGAAGAAGCGATGCTTTATGAAAACACACCATTAATATAAAATCCTTGAGTTAAAATATGGTGGTGTTATTATTATTATAACTTAAACATGATAAAGTACATATTAAATACGAACACTTTCGTTTTATTTTTGTATATATTCTACGAGTATGAAATTAGATGAAAAACAAAGTTTATCGTTTTAATTCTAATTTCTTTATTTACTTTTGTCATGCTATTTCAAGAGCTCAGCAATCGCACCAGTGAAATACATAAGGTCAACGATATCAGCGTACACGTATTATGGACAAGTATAGTAAACACATTATATACATTGGAAATTGTACGTGATTTATTTGACAATAATTCTTGTACAAGGAGCTGAATAGTGTATTGATTAATTTCTGATATTGACATAAAATTTGAATCTATTATGGGCTATAGTACTATTGCCAGGGGCTCTATCTGTGCTTCCTGATTATTGGAATATAACAATTGATATTACGTATACATTTTCTGCCCAGTTATATTTTACCAAAAAAAATGGCACTCCTATTATACAGAATAATTAAAATTCGGTAAGACACTCATTTCTTCAGAAATTATAAAAATTTTTTAATTTCTGTAAGAGAAGAAATATTAGATTCAAAAACCTTTATAACAATGTGTAGTTAAATTATTATTTTTTCACCCCTTCAAAGTTAAAAAATCTTAAATTTAATTTTCTAAATTGGAATCTCTATTTTTAACTAGGTGATTTGATAGAAAAAAAAAATGACAAACACTTTTATTCTTATGATATTTTTTATTTGATTGACCGTCCATATGTTACGGCATTTTACAAAGCTGCAGTGGGTATGTAGGGTGGGTGTGTGCAACTTGATTGATGTGTGTGCACTTTGACTATGCTACATATTCATTCTCATCATCTCCTTAGCCTTTACTCAAACTACTTGAGGTCAACACTACCTTAGGATTTGACAGAATTTTTACATCGGCTGTTAATCTGACACAATTTCTGTATTACTGGCTCCATAATCCGCCAGTACTATAAATTAAAGCTGTGCTTTAAGTTCGACATTTAACCTTCACGAATATCGCAAAACAAACCAAAGTTAAAATACTGGTGTTATTTATTTAAAAAATAAATCATCACTGGATAAATTAGCAAGACGCATGAAGTCAATTAATATTTTAATTATTTTTCGAGGTCAATTCAATTACATTTTAGCTCAATCAATCTAATTATTTCGTAATCATTGTCTCCATACACGTTGACATTGTTACTCAAAAAATCGTTGGGAAACATATATTAGCAAAATACTATAAAGCAGTTTGCTAAATTCAAATAATATTAAACCAAAGCAGAAAATTAAAATCATTGGAAAATAATTGACTATAAATTTGTTATAAGAGGTTATCGATGTAAAATGAGTAAATTGTGTTAAACTATAACATTGATAATACTCATGTTATAAAATTCGTTTTTTACATTCATTGATCTAACGTCCATAAAATCTTGATTTTTTGTTTTCCTCATCCAGAAATTATTGTTGCGTCAACTGACACATGTTTTACAAAGTTATAGATTCAGAGAAATCAATACAGTGGGAAATATGGTTCAGTTAACGAAGTCTGCACACGTTGGCGGTTTAAATAAGTTTAGTAGAACATCACCCTCGACCCGCTTAGTGTTTTATTTGAAACCTACCCTTATGACCCCCCCAAATAAAACAAAATTTTAAGTAAAGAACAACTGTTATAAATAAAAAACAGTACAAGTATAAAATGAAGGCTTTGCTCTCATCTGTAAAGTTTCATATGACAACAGCGAGAAGAAGAAGAATAAAGTGATTTGTTACAAACGCTAGTTATCATATCATAAATGCACATTTCTCTAGATTATTGTCTTGTTCAGTGTAACGTTTAGTTGCACCTAACAATTATTTACATATCATAACACTAGTGTAACAATACTTTTTTCGTAGATGACATTAACAATACGTAAGCCAATAATTTTCTTTTTATAACCCGATAAATGACATTTAGACTATATAATTGTTGCGCGTTAATGACCTCTCTATGCATTAATTACATAAGTATTATTATTGTCCACATAAAACTTGTAAACGTAGCAATAGTTAACAATTACTGACTTAATATTATGAACACAATTCTCAGAATAGATAATAATTTTAACGTATCAACTTGATACTATAATATTTTTTTGACCATTAATTATGAAACAAGTAATTGTTTTGTTTTAAATGACCACTCTATATTCTGTAGCTAATTAGTGATTTTATTAGTTTAAACTCAGTATTCTTACGAAAGTTTATAGAAATTGTAACTCTTCATGACAGTCTTCGAAGTTGTATAAATTAGTGAATTGAATTTCTAAACAGTTCATCACTGCAAATTAAAAGTTTTTATTTATTGTTCGATATAAAAATTAAACGAACACAACAACAATACGACCAATCATGTTTTGAGTTTAATAGTTACTGATAAACAACGCGAGCGTAACGTGGTACCATTACTTCTCTAATTGATTTTTTAATGGCCTCGTTTGTACACAAATCATTTTACTGTGACAGTTTTTCACGCAATTGTGGCGTACACAATCTGAAATGAGTTTACCACCTACACATTTATTGTATTAGAGATATTTTATTATACACAGAGAGACCGTCCAAGTGTGAACGCGAGGAATTGTTTTGGTATTCTATTATATTTTGTGGCCTGGTTGGCGATTTTGAAAGCGGAAACAACTGATACGGATTAGCTGTGTCTCATTCGGGACGACTGGTAATAATTACAATACAAATTTGTCTAATGTGATTTAAATTTGACGTTGTGTACCGTGTAAAAGTTGCTTTTTAAGACTCTGTCAAAAATGTTGTCTAAACATATATTATCATTAAACATTTTTTTTATCAATTATACTGTAGCAAAATAATCGAGTATTCTTGTTGAGTAATTTTTTTTTATCTCTCACTTCATAGTTAATATAATAGCTCCAAAATTATTTATTATTATTGTAATTATTTTTTAAAGAGCAGTTTATAGAAATAGTGCAACAACTTATGAGGGCATATAAGAATCTATCCCGATAAGATGGGACACGAGAACAGACGCCTTCACAATTAGCCTCCAAAGTTGAGTAGTTAAAAATCATTAATTGTACTACTTTTAAACACATATAAGCAATTTAAAATGCGACCAAGCATGTTCTTATTACAATTTTCAATCATCTACTGAAAGATATTAAATTATATACTCATAGCTCAAATGACAAAGTTTTTAATTTTAAATGTCATATGCCTAGTAGTGTTATTGATAGTTATTATTTTATAAACAAATATATACTTGTTAAATATTTATAATATATGCATATATATATAAACTATACTGTTGTATAGTTTTTATAAGAAAATATAACGATATTCACTATTACAAACACTTTTATATATAAACAATCAATGCAGTTGAGTAAAATACAAATGTGGAAAAGCCTGTCAAACAAATAAGTTTGTGCTCAATTTTACACATTTTATATTCATAAGCAACTTTGGTAGACATGAAATTAGATTATTGAAATATTAGCATAATGTTCATACACAAAGGTTATTGGACATTTGCTTTGAAATCATTTTGGCGTATTTAAAAAGACATCACTCGTATATGTAGTATAGTTTTGGCAAGTCCCTTAAGTGTCTTTCACCAAGACATTACACATAATACACAATATTTGAAAACCAGCCATGTGTTTAGAACCATAGTAGTTTAGTATACACAGCTTCAACCGTGGTCACTAGACAACTGCAGGCATCATCGTGACCTCTGCGAAATCATATCCCGTGTATTATACCAGTTTGTTGTAGTCTAAGTGGATCATACGCGTATACTTAATGCCTAGACCTAGAGGCACCAGCTGTCCTGGCCATTACCGGTCTTGGAAATGAAGCGTCTGTTGAATTTTAAATAGCAATATATGACCCTTTAAAGAGGAAGGTCGACACAGTGTGCTCTTTATGGGTTTTTTTTCATAGCTACATAATTTTGTCTGAAAACATTTATGGGATATAAGTAATTATTTTTCTTTATCTTAATGCCAACAGTTCAATTTTCAAATACAGAAACACATCACTCAACTTGGGCACTAATATATCAGATACGTCCAAAATGTTTAGAAAGAATATTTTACTGTCTACGTTTACAATACAATACTTTATTTTAATATTTCTAATAATATTTACTACAACAATGATAATTTTTACACTAACAGTCTTTTTTTAATCGTAGTTTCAGAGTTAATCATGCTAACAAATAAGGATAACTTATATTGTACTTTTGAGCCCAATAGGTGAGCAATTTTAATATAATCTAATAACCCGATCATCGCATCAATAGTTACCGACAACTACAATAACTCGTTTGTGTCGCTCTAACATGACATCGTAATTTTTAACGAGGTGAAGGTCACGATATTCTTGTATGTACTCGTATATATGTGTGTGTGTGAACAGTGTGATATTAGTGTGATTTATGCGTCTTTTAGAAACATCTTCCTGAGACCAAGTCACTTTTTATTATTTTCCTACTACTGTTCAGCAGGTTGAGTTATTTTATTTCATCTATCACTTTTTTATTATTTCGTTGATGTTACTGCTAGTTACAATACTTAGGGTAGAATGACTACGTGTATGATTTGTGTTTAACTGCATTATTGAATGGCCAGATGACCTCAATCAAGAAATACCACCATAGACGCCGAACGACCCAAATCTAGGAGCTTTATCTAAGATAGGTCTGAGAATAAATAGCCGATAAAACATTTTTTACAACTTGGTCTTAAGTTTTAACTCGTAAAATTTCACATTAGATAGAATAAAAATGATTTGTTTTATTTCAGCTTATATAGGTTTTAAATTATGTTTCTCATAAACTGTTATTTTCTTTTGTAGACAGTTTTACTTATAGTTAAAATATAACTTCTTTTGTTTTTTTAATTACGAAAAAATATTTAAATAAAACGGATTGTATATACAAAATCTAAATATATGTTCTACTACATTATGGTCTTATTTTTAACTTATATCCTACTTATCTGGGATCGGCTCTACCATACAATGATTTGACAGAATTTTTGTATTAGCTGTCGACTTGATGTAACCTCATTATAACTGAAAGAGACAGTAAGAGGCAAGGTGTGTATCACTGTTCCCAAATGGTTACCCATCCGCGAACCAACATCACATATAATAGCTGAACATCAGCGTTAAGACGGCGACTGAATGATCCACTGCGCCACAGCACGTCCTTAAATGTATATTCTATTAAGGTTGATGAAATTTGACAAGACAACAAGACGTTCTAATTGTAAGTTGTTTATAAACAGACTATTGTTTGTTAAATAACTTTTAAGTAGGTACTATTAGTAGTAAATGTATTAAAATAATTTTGAATGGAATTTAAAACAAAGATAACCTATTGCCTATAATTAAATTTAACAGTTATATATCAAAATTAAACGATTATGTTCAAAAATAAAAAATATAGTCAATCATGTTTAAATTAAATATTTTATAACATGTCAACTAAACTCAAAAAATGAATAACAATCTAATTACGAGTATTTAATTGTTTAAGACTTAAATATGCTTCAACACGTTTTAATGTAATAATTCTTATTAATAATTATAATTACATAACCAAAATTGACAAAACGCATGTTAAATGACTATTTTCTAGAACAATAAACACATACAAATTTATAATAGTTATTTTAATGACACTACAGAAATTACTCAGTTATTTATATTAATTAAGTCATTCAAAGCACGTTTCTAACAACTTTTATATCACTATAATTTACCAAATAACAATTTTTTTTAACAAAAACGTTTAAGTTTATTTTTATAACTTATTAACTATAACAATTTTTTAAAAGATTTATCATAATTTTAGAATTAAAATACAACATTTTTAGCTTGAAAACCAACCTTCTGTCAAAGATAGAGGTTATTTTCCTCATACTCCACAAAAAAATGTTCTTGTATAATTGATGATAGAATACGTTTTTAATTCCAATCCGGTGTCAAGATAAAAATTCTTAAAATGTAATCATCGAAAAAAAAATAAATATTTCAAATGATCTAGAACCACGAACATCATTATATTGAAAAATAAAAGCTTATGTGTAATTTGTATTTATTTGTTTCAAATAGTGGCAGATTTAAAAAGGATGGATCAGAAACCCTGGATAAGACTGATATATATTCTGTGTATATTTTATTCTTAAGATTTCCTGCCTGTAGAAAAATATTGACAATCCGTCATTGATTTCAAATATTTAACATGCTTGAATAAAGTTTATATTATTTTTTTGACTGTGTGTTGCCAATAAACTGATGATCAGACTGTTTTTATGTCCTTGGAACTACCGATAAAAAAAAAATGCTAAACTACTTTAGTAAAGCCTTAATTCAACTTCAATCATACAGAAATCACAATATTGAATCGTATAAGAAAAAATAACCATATCTAGTTCGAATTTCACGGTAAAAACGATGATTGTTTTAAAGAACATTTTACAACTAAGGTAGGTACTAAAAAAAACACGATAAAACCAATCTGCATTAATATCTTCTTTTTGAAACTATTCTGTAGTCACCAGAGATTAATATAATAAGTAAATCAGCCATTCAAAATCTCTATTGTATTACGGAACACCGTATTTCTTTCCTATATTGCAACAAATACCGTGTGTGGCAAGTATAATTTTTTTCGGGTAAACTTCTTTTTTTGTTCTGGAAATCGCATTGGTCCAATTCGAATGTTAGTTCACACTAGTCAAAAACTGGTTTTAAATATGAAGAATATTCATTTATTATAAGAATTTTATAGTTGGAAAATGCACATAAAACTTTTCACTTAACTATCAAGTTTTAATACATTCTCAACAATTCTAAAATGTTATATTTTGTAAGTACATTAAAATCAAATAATATAATTAATAATATACTGTATTGTTCAATAATATAATTAAAATATACATAATTTATTGTCAATTATTTATGTAGGTCTATCCTGTTGGTGAAATGTTAATTTTAAATTACTTCTGTTTTGAAACGACAAGTATTAAATTATCTCGATAAACGATGAGCTGTCGTACTTTCTTTTTTTTGTCACTCTATTGGCGTTTTATACCAAGTATTACACAACTTTGTCACTATCAACGTTGTCGAAGTATTAAACGTGTTGTATAAAATCAAAATAGCAATAAATAATAAATATTAATTTACAGCAGTTGCAAATAAGAACACTAATTTTTACGCTCGTTTAAAAACTGGAACTCAGAATCATTTTTTAAACCTAGGTCATCATCTACATAACAAATGGTGACCATAAAGTGGCATCAAGTTCAAAGTAATAAAACGTTCCATTTGCCATTCACAACTTTCGTCTGCGTATTTGCACGCCATTTTTATCGTCAGTTTTTTACAAACATTTTACAGTCTATATCGTCCAGTAAAGTTTTCTTTAACGTAACTACGTTGCCTTTGTAATCTGTTTGATCTTGTTATTAACAATATCAATGTGTTATTAGTAACTTCTATGTATTTAAATCGCAATATATATATGTTAAACGCGGAGTAAATATTTCATTTAATTAAAAAATACATTCAATGAAACAAGTAAGAAGTTTAATCAAGAACCCAACCACAGCAGTTTTCCTTTAAATAACCAAATACGATAACATAGCGCTAACATTAAAGCATGCTTTGTAACTCTTTCTCTACAGTAAACATGTGCTAGTTGAAGAAATAGTAAATTGGATAGTATAACTTTATCCACAAAACATAATTTATAATAAGATATATCCGATTTTTTTAGTTCTAGAGCTTTTTTAAAAGAATTCATTCTTTTGAGCAAATGTTGATCACATATATTAATTGACATAGAGTGTATTAAAACCAAGAACACGTTTATGTCTTTTGAAATGTTCATGTCATATGATACATATATTTTTCACCGGTGAGAGTATTTTGAAAATCATATGCGAGTGCAATTGAGTTTAAAGAAAATTATTCAGATACTAAAACAATTGTGAAATTTTAAGATTATGTTTAAGTGATTAAAATGGCACCTGTAATATTTTGGTAAAATGCGAGTTCAGGATTTGGTTTGGAAAAAGCCGATTACATTAAATATTACAGGTTAGATTTCTTCATCTATGAATTACTTACTCGTTGTCAATTTTATCATTACCTTCGAGTATCAATTGTTAGTAGCCGCGGTAGAAAAACAAAGAGAACTTCAATGATTCTACTTCAATTATTGCTGGCATATTTAAACACGTTATGCTAGTCCTTCAATGAAGGAGAAAGTATTTATTACAGATGATGTTACGACTATAAACCTTTTTTGTGTGTATGACAGCAACAGTAATTGTTGAGAGTGTCATTGTATATCAATACTGTCAGTTTTTCTTTGGTTCCTGAACTTGAAACACTGTAGGTAATTGTTGTGAACCCGGATCGAGGCTCATCGTGAGCAGTATTAGTAATGAGTGTTATACGTTATTACAACGTTATACGAATCATGTGCTCTGAGGTTAAAGATTTTGACATTAAAAAAAAAAGCTAGTTTTTAAACTCATTGAATATCAGTAAAAATATGTTTTGTTTATGTGCATGATACTTATCTCATACATAGATACAATTTGTACAAAATATTTGAGACATCTAATTTAATTTCTCGCCAACTTAAAAATATTACTATAAATAAATATATACAATTTTCATAACTATTGGGGTCTATGACAGATTCTGAAGAAACTTAGAGAAATCCTTTCTATGATCTCACATTAAATTAATACACAACCAACAAATACAAATTATTATAATGTATTTCTGACTACTGTAACTAAATAATATCTCTAGATGAAAGTATGATAAAATAACCAGCTTTATGAAAAATAAATAACCACAAACTTGACTACATATATATAGTAGCTAAAATTATTTGACAAATGAAAAAATTAAAACATTAATGTAAAAAAATATCAATTTTTCTTTACACTTTATTTCAGCTGAATGATCACATGAAAATTGAATGCATGTTGGAATAGTTTTTTTACATGGAATTAAGAAAACCGATTATTATTTACATTATAAACAATACTTTATTGTTTCAAAATATACGGAAAAATAACTCAACTAATAATACTGTGCTGAATAATGTGTACAATCATATAATTTGAATTGTGTATTGCAGAACTATTTCGTAGATTAGACTGCAGATTATTTAAAGATAGAATCATATCGTTTAAAAAAGTAATTATAAAATTAATTATTTAACTATAAAAGTAATTAAACTTAATTACACAAATAAATTTTATATAAATAAATGTTTTCGATGAATCTTTTATTAAAAAAAAATATTTAAAATGAAAAAAAATTAAATTAATGTTTCAATTTAGATATTTACAATTTACATATGTACACTTGACGACTTTTAAGGAAATCTAATACTGGATACTTATCGCACTGCATTGTATGCTGATCAAATGTGTTCAATTATACAGATAACCTTACGATCATCACTTATTTAAGATACGGACTACTGTTTCCGGCTTTCGATGGATACCTGTCTGTTAATGTTTTTTATATAAGTAGTGCCAAATGCTTAATATGAATATATACTAGAGTACCCATGAACACTACGTTTCAATTGAGTTGGATAATATATAGAAGCGTAAAAAATGATTTTAAGTATTGGCAAGTGTTTTTCTGACTGATGTAGTTGCTCACTACTTTTACAAGTATAAGGATGAAAACGACGCCGAATATTTTAAGTCAGAATCTGCATTGGCGCCATGTCTACGTAAAATTATTATCACTTTTGTAAGAGTTACGCAACGTAGGCTGTTTATAAGTATGTGCACTATAATATATTAGTCGGCGCGACAAGTGATAGTATCGTCACATGCTCGCGGCTTATTAATTACGAGTGGAGAAACGAAGGAAAAAGCTACTGAAGCCACAAGAACGTGTACTAATACATACAGTTAAATTAATGTAAAGGGTTTATGAATGCGGGGGAACCGAGAAGCATCGCTTTTGGCTTAAGTTGACTATAATTTTTTCCACGGCAACCGGTCCCCCGGCGCCAGACGAGATTATCGACGTCCGACCCGCGAACTTGCCCTGAGACCAAAACACAACAGCAATAATAACAACTAATATATTTTTTACGCATACTACTTAAAAATATTTTTTAACTAATAATCAATATAACATTGTAATGATTACTACTATTATTAACAACTATGCCATACCTCGCTAATTATTTCAACATCAATAGCTTCACGCAATATAAATTTATCATACTAAAATATGTATAAAAGTTCAAAATAAAACTGCTCGTTACCAATGTATAGAAACATCTTGACAATAAATCATATGTAATGTGTTAAGATCAAAGATGTTAGTGATTTTCAACTGTGACATAACTGAATATTTCAGATATTAAATGGATATTAATATTGTCTTGAGCTTACGCTCTCAAATAACTAGGTTAGTGTTTGATAACCAATGTAGGTTTTTTTGTACACCTTGAATATACGTCCTTTCTCCGTGCTTTCTCATAAAGACCGACAAAAGAGTATTGTAATTGCTTAGGACCCATTGCCGCAAAGTTCCAGTTGTGCTGAGTATGCAAGGGAGTTTTTCATACATTTAAGGACCCAATATTTTTAAAACTCTAATACGAAGACATACTCACAGGATTCTATTTAAGTAGTGTTAGAACCCCACGAATTTAATTTATCAGCAAATAAAGGATTCTTTAAAAAGAAATGTGTCCAGCCAAAACAATATATACATAAATTTAGAAAACGTATTATTCCTCGTGGTTACTTATGCACTTCGAATACGTGAGTTTTACATTTAGTTGGTAATTACGTAGAAAAAAAGTAAGACAAATTCAATAATTACTCCATTGTAATACAAAGATGACAAATTCGCTTTATCAAAGGAGTTTTTACTTATTTTATAGAACTAAAATTATTCCACTAGTTATTAGGTAATTTTATTATGACCTAGCATACCATTTTATGTCATTGTATCAGCGTGAGTACAATATCCTAGGACACCTCATTGTAATATCCGCGTTGGAAGCTCCACAAAGAAACTTTTATAAGCTGTTTGGATAACTATGCGTATTATACATTAAACAGCAGCGAAACTCAATACCATTGTTGTTACCTATCTTGCTGAATACGAAATCATATACATAATAATAGATGTTAGATAAACACTTGGCCCATTGCAACAGCTGCGTACTAACATTTGGTAACCAATAAAACCAATTAGTACATATCATTGTAATTACAGTTATTTTCAAGGTACTAACAATATCTCTAATGTTTGCATAAGTAAAAAACCTAATGCTTATCTTTCATTCAAATAATTGTTGACTCAATGTAGTACACGTGGTAAAGATTTTACAAAACAAAACTTTGGTCATCGTTTTATTACGATCACAACAGCTTAAATCTAAATTTTCTGAGCCTATTGGCTGCAACGCAACACAATCAATTTAAAATTTTATTCGTAATACAATAAATAGTAAGAATTTGACAGCAAAATTTCAAATACTTGCCCTGGTTTAGTAGCTGACGCGTGTAAACTTGAGCAACCTCTTAAAATTACTGTATTTTTACATTCATAATAATAGAATACTAACTAACGATATACCTATTCTAATTTCCATTTAAATATTATAAGTATAAGAGATTAAATTTATTATCAGTTTACATTATGTGGTAGAAAATCAGTATTAGAAACTATGAAATTGTATACATTATTAGAGGTCATAATGAAAAAAGTCTAGATTATAAGTTTATATTAAATGCTTGTTTTTACATAACATTAGACAAAATTTTTAAATAAAAATATGTAATGACAAATTTTTTTCTGTAATTTTATAACTGAAAGTATAAATTATGTATTTTTATAGTAGGCCCAATTAATAAACATTATTCAAATTAATAACAGTTTTAATTTGAAATTTCCGTGGCTAGTAATTATTAACTCCTAACATTACCTAAGATAGATCAATTATATACGGTGTTTAAATAGATTTTAATTATATATATAAATCAACGGGTCACCGACTTAGCTATGAGTTCATACATGTATTTTTCTTAAGACGATAGATATCTTATAATTTTCCTTGTGTTGCATTCAGCCTTGCCGTTTACCATCTTTTTATAATATAAAGTAATTTAAAGGTCACTTATATTGTTTTTTCACATGATTTTATTATTTAAGAAAGAAAATTGTTTTTTTTGTAGCATGTTTTTTTTTTTTGTATTAACACTATAATAAAAATAAATATATTTATTTTAAAAAGATGTAAAACTTTAAATGTTATTCTAAAAATTGTATAGTTTAATCAAGAATTAGGTGGAAAGTAAAAATTTAAAAAATGTCCGGTTGTTATCCCAAAATTAAATGAAGGTCTCCACAGTCATCTTACATCGCGGATAGGAAATGCGAAACCTTGACTTTAGATACACAACAATCAATTTATAAATTTAAAATAGTATATTGTTATGTGGTTTAAGAATGAATTTATTAAAAATCATTATTTTCCTACAGGTTAGACACATTAGTAGCAAATACACCTATTATTATGCGTTAAACATTAATAATAAATATGATATAGAATAGTAACAAATTATAATGCTATTGTTTGGGTTACATACTTGTTTTTCGGAAGCCTTTTTCCTCGGTGGTCATTAAAATGACAATTATAAAATGCACGCTCTAAACTCATAATTACCAAGGTTATAACTAAGAATAATTGAGTAATTTAAACCATTTTTATTTAAATTATTGTTCATATTTGTTAATGGTAACGATAGACGTATCGAACTTATATTGGTGAATAATAAAATACAAAATTAAAGGTATTTTTTAGTCATACCTACTTCTTGGAATATTGTTTCAGGTACAATCTGAACATCTTATAAACATGAAAACACAATAATAAACTCCCAAGTAATAATTTAAATCTTTTTCCATGTTTTATGAAAATATTTGATATTGATAACATTGGATTACATATTTTTATGTAGTAAGATAATGTTAATATCAAATGGCTAAGGTGAAATCACCAATGAAAAAAACAATTAAGATTTTTTCGTCTTTTAAAGTTCTTCATTAACTTATATTTTGATGTCATGCTCATAAAGAAAATAAATATTTGTTCTCAAAAAAATATTCTATAGTAATAATTTAAATTTATTTATGATTAAGAATTTAAGAATTTAAACTTATTATTACATGTTGAAAATTGGAATTTTCCGGTGAATGAAAAGTTGAGAATATTATATAAAAAATTGTAATATTGTAATAGGATTTCCATTTAGATATTTTTATTATGTTTTAAAGCTTACTAACAGAAATTTTTTACCATCAGATTAGAAAAATTTTTAATTAAGAATTCAGCGGTGTTTGTATGTACAAAATTAAGTTCACTCAATGTCTACTCTCCGAATATAAGTTTCACTAATTATATATTTTATAAGGGTGGGAATTTCTAGGTAAGGTTGATATTATTGTTATAATTATTATGGGTCGTAAGTACCCAACGTTTAGTTTTTGCAACCAAGTAAGTGTGCAACAAAAATCATAAAACGACATTTAGAGGTTAAATATAACAATTATTGCATCGAAATTACATTTACATTTAATTTGCTGTCACGTTGATTGCTGATACTAAGTAATCTAATAAAATTTATTTTATACCTTCGTCAATGGATTAAGCTATTGTTTGTTTATTTTAATAGTCTTAGAAGTAAGTTCGAAGAAGCTTTGCCATATATCACAAAGCGGGGACTAACACGTAGCCAATAATAGGGAAACTATAATTATACCTATTCAACACTATAGAATTACCTTAAATGTGTTGACAATATTATCTAATCCTAATTTACTGGTGAGTAAATATGCTATAATAATACAGTGATACCAAAATGTTCATTCGTTTTAAGTTTTAAAATTTAAGAATTAATGTTATCAAAATTTCTTTTAAATGCAATATTTCTATATTTTTATTGAATTTACAAAAGTTAAACGATGAATTTAAAGTATCTTATTTCTATCAAAAACAATTTTTCAAGTACGAAAAATATTAAAAAATTATTTCAATTAATATATATATCATAAAATTTAATACTCTTAGATATCAAAAAATTCCGTTAATAATATTAGTATTAATTGACAATTGAATCAGTAAAAATTACATAACATAGAGAAAAAATCACTTTTGAAAATTTTAGAAGCTTAGAGAGATAATAGATAAGAAAACTAGACTTACTATAGTAATAGAAAACTACACTTGGGAGTATAAAGGGTCCCTAAAGAAATCAAAAGGCCATTGACTAGTAAAAACTTTTAATCTTTATTGGGTTTTTCCTACGCTTCATAACCGACAAAGTTTTATTTTATGTGGAAGGAACAACTAAAATATTATAAAATTTATCTTGTTGGTACTTACGTGTGTCTTCAAAGTTATTTGACGAGCACCTTCCGGTGGCACGTGATTTCTCCCCAATGTTTCGTCCGTATTCAATAGTAATGTATCCAAAAATTTTAAAAATAACCAAAAGTTTAAGTTGCTAGAATTATACACAACGTTAATAAACCGGCACACAATAACGAATTTTACGTTTTAAATCGTCACCACCGGCAAACACTGTTCTGAGTTGTGATTTAAAAATTATGTTTTTAATATTAAGCTTGCGGTAAGTGCAATTTTGAGCAAACCGAAACAGTTAAATACCAGGAAAAATAAATAAATCCAAAACGCAAGGTCGGATGAAAAACTAATAACTTTTTATCTTTTTTCCGAATTCCCTGTGCGGTAGTTAAAATTTTCTCGGTCCGGTCAACAGTTTGGCGAATATGCGTATGATCGTGTGTGCGCGCACTGACTGCTCGAGATGCCTGTCCATATGTTTGCTGTGCGTTTCTCAGTTTACAGTACCCCGTCCAACGTTTTGGCCGGAAGGTCAGCTGATTAGACAGAAGAAGAAAGTACTACAGTTTACCTGCCGCCGCCGACTGTCCCCACAGTACATTATTATATTACTATTGCACTAATATTTAGTATATAGTAGCTGCACTGGTAAAAGTGATGGCGGTGGAGACTGTTAAAGTGGCGGCAGTGATGTTTTGGTGGGAGACGGGTGGCCGTAGCCTGTTGAATATTTTATATCGACTGCACACAGTATTCATGCGATGAGATAATTTCATCAACGCCGATATTAAATTATAGTGTTTCATCAACTGTCATCGCCAACTATAATGTATTTTAAAATAATTCATTTAAATATTGTAAATTGAACATGCGGTCGTCACGTTTTCACAGGAAAAGGGTCGAAAACCCTTAAGAGATCTGACGTTTTACTATCATTGAATCTCACGACACCACAAGTTGAAAAAAACGGCAGTAAATATCACTTATATTGTCTCCACTTGTTATATTATTAATAATAAAATTAACATTACTATTGCTCTTTAAAGATATTAATACCATCGTAAATCACAAAATCAGAGGACTAATTAGGATTTCGTCTTGGAGATGTACATGAGAATAATTATATCTTTACCATACAGTTATTTTTGTCTTGGTTGATATGACACTCAAATTCCCCCATGATTATGCCAGTGCAATCAACTACTGACAATAAATTTAATTTTAATTTGAATTTAATTTAAACTCTGTTAAAATACGTTTGAAATATTCTATAAGACCAATGTAAATTTTTGGTGTTTTAAACACGTTTAATACATAACAATTAATAGCAACTTTTTCATCCGTTTGGATTTTAAAGATATTGTTGAAAATTAATTATTGTTAAATATTTAATTGAATGTTTTTATACCTGGGTAGGTGGAGAAGCGCGACAAAGAAATATATAATTGTAAAGATAACATAACTCGCACTTCGCTCCAGTCTACTTATAAAAATATTAATAATATCCGAAATACTGATTGAAAAAATTTTATCGATTAACTATTTTCTTAGTTGGATCATTTTCTAACATTTAATCTATTCAAATATGTATGTTTAAAAAAAATTTCAATTAAAGAAAATAATATTGATACCTTATGAGAAATAAGGGATAAAATTTGTAACCACTTATAAATCAAGAAATAAATACTACTTAAATAAACCAAAATAAATTCTCAAAATTATTATTATTTTAGAAGAAATCTAGTAGTTAACGTTAAATTAATCGCCCTGTGTTGTATAACTGACTATGTATGTTGTTGTGAAGCAAGTGTGTTAGTGCTATTTAAAATCTTGACCAGACGATAATGATGCTAATTAGAAAGTTGAATATGTATGATAACGTAATTAAAAACACAGATACTATATTTTTGTCACTTAGTTGTTTAATTAAGAAATTTAATAATATACTAGTTCATTAAATTAACAAGCTTCTTTGACAACTCAATTTTTGTGGAATTACTAAAAAGTGGTGTATTTGTAAAACTTAATTATGTTTTTTAGTAAAACAATTGAAATTAATACGGGCTTACCATATAACTACTTGTCATTTATTATGTATGTAGACAAACTTTAAAAAATTGTACTTGCACGAATTAAAAACATTCATATTATATCCCCGCATGAAGCATTAAAAAATTGGTTCATTTATATTTACCACATCAAAGTTGTAAACAGTGGTAGGTAATAAATATTTTACACATTTATTACATGAAAAATGTGTATTTTTATTCAATTGATTGACGACAGAAACAATTATTAATATTTGTAAAAAAGATAACTTATCAAAACTTAATATGATCCTCTCCATTTTTTTTTTTTGCAATATAACATTATATTATTATGTAGTTTACTAAAAATAATTTACAATACAGATTATCAGAAACAATAATTTTTTATTATTTAATTTTACAAAATTATACCAACAACTATATATGTATATATGTACATATATACATAATTATATAACTTATCGATTTACGCGTTACATAAAAATTCTTATGGGAAAATTTTGGACTTTGGCAACATTAATTTTTCTTGATATCATTTAAGGGGCGCGATTATTTTTTAAGGGTCACTGTATCATCTTTTTCATACAAATTTCAACATTTTTAGAAACCACTTTTGATAGTTAAATTATAATTCGGTCAGCTTCGAAGGTATAGACATTTTTATTCTATTTTAAATTTTTATTAATTATTAACCAACTATTATGTAACAGTAAAATCATTTCATAATTATTTTAGATCTTAACGTTCATATTGATAACTTTGAATTCTCAATAATCTATGGTGATTCACAAAGAGACGTGTGATAATAACCGTTGATGCATATTGAACATGATATTTAGATATCACGTTTTTTGATTAGTTATTAACCAAAATATGTCAGTTAAAACACGAAATAATACGCTAAAAAAAAGTTAAATAAATTAAATTTACGTCAGTGTCCATTTCAAAGAAAACAAGACATTACTTTAAAAAATTTATATTAATTATCCAATATTAAAACAATCATATCTAAAACTGTATCATAAATATGTATATTATAACAAAGAAAAATTCGTCATATGTTGTTTTTATAATTAATTAATTAAAAAGACATTTAAAGAGTCATCAATTTTTTCTTTGACATGTACATACATTTTTTTAGAAATAATAACAAATGTATTATGTAAGGTTTTTAGTTTTAGATTTAAACTTTAATAAACAGGCTCTATTAAATCTATTAGCGCTTAAAACAAGTATTTTCGATTGGAGTGACTAAAATGGTTTAATCTTAAAATAGTAATGATACTTTACAGTTTTTACAGCCGTTGTTGCTATTTTTATGTTATGGTTTATTATGTTCGAGATCATAAGTATTAAAAATTAAAATAAAACACTTAAGAAATAATTTCATTTGTACGAAAAATCAATTCACGTCATGGTACGCTTCTATAGTTCTTAAACTCAATCCATTTTAATGACTAACACGTGACGTATTGATTTTTACTACAATAATTATTTTTCATTTTAACTGAAGTAAACGTTTGATTTGCGTAGCTTATGAGTAATAAACAAACACAAATGATCTTTGATTTTTGAACAGTTTTAATCATTGGTTTATACTAAAGAGATGCCGATATATATCAATTCTTTCGTGTGAACTTTTTATTGATATCATCTTAGAATAAATAATAGTTCAGCTCAACATAACTAATAACATTATAAGTTATCCTATTAGCTAGAGACAAACGATGAGTACACATATAATATATGTTCTCTCGTAATTCATGTTATAATTTATTGTTTGGTAGAGGTCTATGGTTTAACTAACTTGTAATTAGGAGTTGTCATTAGTAAACAGCCGTTTATACTTAAATAATAATTAATGAAACAATGATCGCAGTTCTAGAAATACTTGATTATGTTTGTTTTGAGAAACTCAAAGGAGTATTTTACTTAATATGTTGTTCCTTAACATCTATACACTGAAATGACTTGATGTTTATTAAAATAATTATCAAATATTGACAAAAAAACTAATTTATCTATACATATTAGTTGAATGTTTCCAATTATTAAAACTATTGTTATCTCTGTAAACATAATTTCAAATGTTTGTAGATTACGGTGTCCTTTAAATTGATTTGCAATAAAAAATTACTTCGATTCAATGCCGTTCCATTAGAACATCCGCATTATACGTTCAACAAAAAAGTAAAATATAATAAAATAATATAAATATATAAGATAAATATAAAAATAATTTTTGTTATCAAGACAATATTATATAGCAAATTTATATCCTCAATAAATAAATATTAACAGTGGCGGTCTTGGATATATTGATATCATCATTAACATAGTTCCATAAGAACTGTGAGGACTTTTGTTTTCGTAAAAAAAATCGCATCCCCATTAATCATTTTAAAGCTAGAGAAGATAAGACAATGTGGTAAGAAAATTTCTCTTTAGTTTTAAGCTTATTAAAATAGATTGACTGTAGTCATCACAGACAAATTTTTCAAGCTTCTCCCATAAGTTGCACACATTAATTCTAAGTATTATACATAATATCCCACAGTGATTATTTATTTTTGAATATTAGTTTATATAGTTAAATTAGTAAATCACGGTGGGATATTCTGTATAATACTTACAATACATACAAAATGTCTTGGACCTATCTAATAATGCTTACAATACCTGATACAACTATTAAATTGTTAAAATGAACTTTTTAACTAATTATTGTCTTCTTAGATACGTTTAAACATATTTTTTTTATTTTTTATCATTAATATAAAATAAAAAGAAACTAAAGCATTTTATTTATTTTAGCTTCGATGCGAAGCTGAGAAGGTATTGGTTTTACTAAGATGTGTTTTTTTTTTTTTTGTGTCTGTTACCACTTTTTCTCAGCTCTCACCGAACCGATTTCTTTCAATGATACGTCAAAAGATCACAAATTGTATCTAGTCGAAGACATTACCCTTAAAAATTGAAAAAATTCTATCGTTCCCCCTAAATGGTGGAAACCTCCAAAAAAATTACGAATTTAAAAATCGCTAATTTTCAAAAATTTTTCAATTTTTTTTACTTAAAAGTGCTATAACTTTTTCAAAAATGAACATATCAATATAATTCTTTTTTATATAGATGCATAATATTATTACCTTTCATTTGGTATATTTTTTTCATAAATTTAACCCTTAACCTGCCCACAAGGGGGGATTTAAAATGACAACTTTTTCACAAAAAATTAACTTTTTTAACTTAACTTTTGAAAATGTTCCGGAAGGTCTGACACTTTTATATATATCTTAAATTAAAGCTAATGTAATATACTTTATTATGCAGAAAAAAAATTTCGGACTTTATTTTATCTTCATGGTGAAAACAGACATCAAAGTTTATAAAAAAAATACGATTTTTGTAAAAAAATTCTTTTTTATATTTTTAACTTTATAATGCTATAACTTTTTGAAAGATGTATGGATCAATATAATTTTTTTTTATAGATGCATGATGTCTTTACCTATCATTTGGTATATATTTTTTTTATATCTGACTCTTTACCTGCCCTTAGGAGGGGATTCAAAATGACAACTTTTTCACAAAAAATTGACTTTTTCAACTTAAATTTTGAAAGTGTTCCGGAAAGTCTGACACTTTTATATATATCTTAAATTAAAGCTAATGTAATTTACTTTATTATGCGAAAAAAAAATTTCGGACTTTATTTTATCTTCACGGTGAATATGGCTACCGAATGCTATTATTGTGTGAAAATTCTCGATTTTATGTTTTACATTTTTAACTTTATAATGCTATGATATATTGAAAAGTGTATGGATCAACATTATTTTATTATGAGAAATAATATTATTTAATAATCCCTTTTTCATTCGACATACTTTATCTTAATTAGGATATTAATAATGAACTAGCAGATCATGTAGCTTTTGGAATATTCCACCAATTTTTTAAAATTAAGCACTATCTAAAGATTTGCATCGAAGCGTTTTTTTTTTATAGTGATTTTAGTCACTGTCAGATATCATTATACTTGATCCATCTATACCACGTCACCACTGTGCCGCGACCTCCCTGTGCTGGGTTTTTTTTAAATTTTAAAATAGTTAGTTTTAGCCTTTTTCTTACAAAAATGTTTGATGGGCGATAACAACTTTAAGATAAGTACTTATTGAGTTACATGCATTTTAATGAATAGAGTGAGTTTTTTAATAAAATGATAAGCTATAAACGTTGTCAGTTAGATCTAAGATACTCTGTATAGGGTGCAACAAATTTACTTAAATAAACTAAACATACAGGAGTACAAAATCTTTAAACAATTTAATAATACAATTACGAAAATTTCGATTATATATTTAAAAGGGGACACTAGTTGATCATCGCTCAAAGTGATGATCCTCTTATGACCCCTTTACTTTAAGATCTTTAATAAATTTAAATTATAATAATTAATATACACTAACATTTTTAAACTTTATAAGCAAGCAACAAGTTATAACCGTAAATTCAGATTGGATGCACATCTTTATGCTCATAATAGTATTATTCTTAAATTATTGTATTTTTTATTAAATATAATACTTGTAGTTACGTAGAAATAAACAATGTTCAGAGATATATTTTCAACTTTAAACTTTGAAAAAAAAATTATTTTAATTTATACCTTAGTTTTGTTGCTTACTTTATTTTGCATCTTTTGGCGTTGGAACAGTACTTCTAGTCTAAAACTACGGTTGTAAATTAGTGTGCTTAAGATCTAAAAGGGTTAAGCAAATCTATTTTTATAATAACTTTTTGAAAGATAGCCGTTTAAAAAATGAGTTGAGTTGAAGAGTCCCATCAAAAACTCCTTGGTTAATATATTTACCTTCTCATCTTGTACAAAAAGTAATCATTTCCTTCCATACAATTTATGGTCATGTTGGAACCAAGAAAACTGCTAACCTTATTGCTCAATATTGTTATTTTCCTCAATTTCATAAAACTGTTAGGCTTCTAATCCAGTCATGTGACATATGTCAAAGAACCAAACATAGTACTACTCGCATGGAGGGTGCTATGCAACATTTGAGTTTTGAGTTCTGCTCCTTTAGAGAAATGTTTAGTGGATATCTACGGTCCTTTACCTACAGGTCAGTTTAGATATTCATATATTTTTGTAGTCTTAGATAATTTCACTAGATTTGTAAAATTGTACCCTCTTTGTAAGGCTACTGCTAAGGCATGTTGCCACAATATTATAAATGAATATGTTCCTTCATATGGTCCTCCTTTAAAAATTGTGTCTGATCATAGCCTACAATTTATAAGCAATACTTGGGTTAAGTCCTTAGAGGCTAAGGGTATCAAAATTTTATTTACATCTGTTTATCACCCGCAGAGCAACCCAGCTGAAAGGGTAATGAGGGAACTTGGTCGTATGTTCAGAACTTATTGTTATGAACATCATCAAGATTGGCCTAAATATGTTAGTTATATTGAATGGGTATTAAATAACACAAGACATGAATCACTTTCTTTTACTCCTTTTGAATTATTTATCAAAAATCAANTTGAATTATTTTTCAAAAATCAAAATTATGATCCTTTTAAAAACCTTGTTGATTTTCCTCCTTCTTCACAAGTAAATTATAATAATAAATTAATAATAGCTCAGGAGTTTCAATTGTCACAAGCTAAACGTGGTAAGTTACGACATGATCAAAAAGGCAAAGCTATTAGTAATAAAATCAATGATCTGGTTCTTCTTAAGACTCACAAACTCAGTTGTAGTGTGGATAAAAAGATTGCTAAATTCTTTTTATTATATGAGGGTCCTTACAAAATAAAAGAGATTAAAAAAGAAAATGCCTATGTGTTACAAGATCCAAACTCCTTAGATGTTAGAGGAACATTTAATGTAATACATCTAAAACATTATCTTTCTCAAACAGATTTACTGTCTTGATATTATTAGAAATTGATTGCTATAGAATATTGAAAATATTGATATTGTATTAGTTTAATTAAATTGTTTTAATTCAGATTATTCTATTTTATTATACTTTATTACTGTTATTTTGAAACAGACTGCTTTCGTTAACTTCATTAGTCTGTTTGGGGGGTTCTGTAAAGTAATAAAGTTATCATGAGTATAAGGTCACAGGTAACCATATTCAAACAGTGCGCGTCGTCTATCTGTAGGATCAGTGTTGCATATACACACATGATTAGTTATTAAACAATCATTTTCCCTATCACCTGTGATCCTTATCTACACCACATTAGAATGGTCACACTGTCAACTACCCTTTCCATGTGCTATCGAGCCGGTTTGCGAAATTTTAAAACGTGTCACGGCTCTTTCAACCTCCCTACCGCCTCTATTCACTATTATCATCTGACTAGTTATTACTGAATTATCAACACATTCTGATATCAATAATCATTTTATTATTAAAAGCTAGTTTTATAGTTGGAAAATAATAACATTGAACACTTGTAATTATTATTTTAATAATACTAAATAAAGATTAAATACTTTTTATAACAACTTTTATAGGAATTTGATGTGTGTGACATAATAAATAGTACTTATGTATGATGAATTTTATTTGGCAGTGTGAGTAGTACCCAGCGCTTTATTTAGTTGAACACAATAATTTAAACAATGTGGTGCTTTAGAGGGTTTAAATGTTTGTTTATCTGGGTTGAAACTTTTTCTGCTTCTAGGTAGGACATTAGAACGTGGCTGTTGACTATATCCATGTTCATTACGTTTCCATTTTGGAACTCTACCAACTGCCAAATTTTTTCTTCCACCAATTTGAGTTTTTCTTCTGGATCTCGCTGTAGGCTGAGTACCTATGCGTTTATTTCCCATTAATTTTAAGTGTTTGGATTTTGGATCAATACCTGAATATCTTCCAAATGACATAATTGCAGATAACAGAGCATAGTGAGTCCTAATATTTTTGTCAAATGATTTGCTCATAGCTTCAATACATGGCAAAAAGTATTCTTTATCTGATTCTATTGCATTTTTCATTTTCTGTAAAAATATTGTAAAATATCTGCATTTCATCGTCAACTAATTGTCTACATAAATCTTCATTGCTTCCCATCATCATATCAATAGCTGTACTTGTGCTTGTATCAATAAAATCTTCTTTCTTTTCATGTTGATTAGTATTAACTTTAGGTCCTACAGATAGTTTATTTTCTTTAATTGTTGAGTGTATTTCAAAAGTACTATTATTAGAAATGTTGATTGAACTGTACCTGCCAATTTCAATATTAGAATTTCCTGTGGCAATTATATGTAACTTTTTTCTTACATCTTCAGTAGAAGGTAAACAAAGAGAAAGATCAATTTTCAAACTGAGAGCTACAAATATTTGGTGTTTACAAGGTTTACCTGACTCACCTTCTGGACATGTACATATTCCTACATCTAAGTCTACATTGTAAGATGTATTTTTGGTGCAATATTTACCTCATAAATAGATCCTAATTGTTTATATTCAAGTTTGTTTTTTTTTAATTCTGATGATGTGTATTTCTTTTTTAGATATTGAGCTGGGCGATTTGCTGCTACATCTATTAGTTTCATCTCATAGAAAGCATCAAGATCATTCACAATAAAAAAAAAATAATTGAACTGGTGAATAAGCTTTAGTTTGGTCTAATATAGTATCTTTAACAATTTTAACTCCAGCTTCACAAATATTATTGGTGTTTTGACCACGTGTTATTAAAGTTTTCCTGTGACAAAGTGCCCATTCTTTCTGTCGTTGATATAATCCAATTACGTAAGTTTCAACCATTTTATATTTTTTTGTCAAAGAATCATTTATGACTTCATTGTACATTTTTTCTAGTTCTTCACATGTTACTGAGTATAACAGTTTTTTTATTATAATAGCAATGACAAAATTTTTATCTTCAAGAGTTTCCATTAGAGCACAAGTTGAACTGCATTCTATATTAAACTGTTCTACAGCTTCTTTAAGAGAGTTCATCATAGGCTCACCATGAGATGCTCCAAAGTGTGTATTAAAACTTTTTCTCTACAATAAAATTAAAAAAGCCTACAGTGAGATCCAGAAGAAAAACTCAAATTGGTGGAAGAAAAAATTTGGCAGTTGGTAGAGTTCCAAAATGGAAACGTAATGAACATGGATATAGTCAACAGCCACGTTCTAATGTCCTACCTAGAAGCAGAAAAAGTTTCAACCCAGATAAACAAACATTTAAACCCTCTAAAGCACCACATTGTTTAAATTATTGTGTTCAACTAAATAAAGCGCTGGGTACTACTCACACTGCCAAATAAAATTCATCATACATAAGTACTATTTATTATGTCACACACATCAAATTCCTATAAAAGTTGTTATAAAAAGTATTTAATCTTTATTTAGTATTATTAAAATAATAATTACAAGTGTTCAATGTTATTATTTTCCAACTATAAAACTAGCTTTTTAATAATAAAATGATTATTGATATCAGAATGTGTTGATAATTCAGTAATAACTAGTCAGATGATAATAGTGAATAGAGGCGGTAGGGAGGTTGAAAAAGCTGTGACACGTTTTAAAATTTTGCACACGGGCGAGCGCCAGCCTAGAGCAAAAGGCGGTGCCATGTCATAGTTTTTTACCATGGCAGTCAGTTAAACTATTGTTTTGGTTACAGTGATAAAGAATTTGAATTATGATATTATAATGCGCATTCTAAAAATAACTGGTTGATTTAAAAGTAGTCAATTGTTATAACTTAACTTACTTACTAATTTTGGTTTTTTTTTTTTTATCATATGCCTTTATTTAAAAATGTTATGGCTCAACAATTAATGTGTGAAACAATAGTAAATATTACAAATGCATATATTTACACCAAAAGAAGTAACAGGAGTGAAAACAAAAATGAAGTAAAAATTATTTACTAGAGATATTCATATTATAAGTTGAAAATATAATAAAGTACTATAGCCAGTCATTATGAGTAAATTAAATGAAGCAGCCAGCATACAAAAGAAAAGATTCAATTGAGTTACTAATGGACACAATAGGGCAATTAAGGTTTAGAAAAGGATGGGGATTAGTTATACCAAGAGTGGCTAGGTAGTTGAATAACAAGGACCTACTGGAATTGAGAGAAAGGCAAAATAATAAAAAATGAGAGAAATTACCAATAAATTCCTCCTGGTGAAGGTGACAGTAGGAAACAGAATTAAGGTTAAGTTTGAAGGTGAAATAGGGTAGAAGATTGTGACCAACTCTTAAGTGGGAAAAATCGACTAAAGATTGCCTCAAACTTTGTTCAATAGCACCGATTAATCACCCCATACCTCAAATTTTCCCTTGTCCCATCTTCTTGATCTCCCCCGCAAATCTAATTTGGGTCAAAATATTAAAATTAAAATTTTTATATTCTAAAACATTTATTCATATTTATTATTATTTTATGTTAATTTAAATATTTTATTTACAATAGTTGTGTTTTTTGCTTACATTCAGATATATTTTTTTTAATGTGTAATAAATTATTTTATATTAGTGCCTTTACTATTAATTATAATCAAAAATCAGTTATATCATCTTATATAGTCTTTTATTTCTAAAGAAGTATTATGAAAATAAATGTTTATTCTTATTATGTTGCCTAGTGATTAACAATTAGTAAACTTTAATAAATTTCATTGAAAAACTTAAACAATAAAAGCTGAGATTTCTCATTAAATATTTATCATGGAAGTTGACTCAATACATGAAATATATCAAAAAGAATCATCTCAAGATAGTATCGACACAAATATTAAAGATTTTGAAGATATTATTCAAGAAAAGTAAATTCTTTTATTTTTATACATTATGTTACTTATAATATGTTATGCGAGACAATAAAATTTTATTTTTATTAATACTTGGCAATAAATAAAAAATAATTCAGAAAATTTATTCAAAATAATTCTCTGCTTATGTTTAAAAGCTAAAGTTATTCATTTCATTAAATAAATTCATAGAATAAAAATATTGCCATATAATTACTATCAATTCATATAAATTGATTATCTCAATTATTTAAAATTAATATTTTTTAGTGAGTTACACAATAATATCACCTTAGAGAAAAATAATTCTCCTAATTGGATACAAAAACATTTAAACAGATTTTTCAAATTTGATAAAAATTTGTCAACTAAGAAGCTTAAAAATCAAATAAATGTAAGCATATAATAAATTTTTTTTTAATTACTATAACAAATTAATATTATTAAAAATTATATAAAAATAATGAGGTATACTGAAAATTTTTATTTGTATCTTTGTGCACTAATTGATTTACATAAACTTTAGATCATTAAATTAAATGATTTGACAAACCGTCATAAAAATTTTCCATCAACTTATGAACCCAAATTGATAGAAAAAGAAAACTTTTATCAAAATACAATAAAAAGCTTANTTTTTTTTATTCAACTCTTTAATTATATTTCTTTTTTTTTTTTTTTATTCAAATGTCTATGTGCCTAGACAAACAAGGTAATAAAAGTTTTTTTTTTTTATTATAGTACTTAATAGCATACTATTTTATAAAATTTTTTCCATTTTAATGGAATGAGTATAAGTTTGTGTATTGTACCAGAGTTAAGTTATTTTTTTCCATAAAGAAATAAAAAAAAAATGATAAAGTTTATATCCCAGTATTTTAAACTTATGATTTATATAGCCCTCTAATTTTCTTAATCTAATTTCTCCCGTATTCTAAAATGTATAATTATTATACATTTTTTTTTTTTACATATCTTCTTTGTTATTGATTACTGTTATTGCTTCTATTCTTTGTTGAATGGCTTCTTGTTCTTTACGGTTAATTTCTAGTTCGCACAATAGTCTTTCCATTTGTTTTGCTAATTTTTTTTTCTGATTTTTTCGTTTGTGAGTGGGCCAATTCCTCTTGGGTTTTGTTGATTTCTATAAGCTTTTTTCGATTTCTTGTTTTTGTTTTGTTGATAAATAACTCACATTAGCGGGCTGTGCCATTTTCTGTTAAGTGTTTGAGTGTATAATTATAGTAAACCTAGTCATGTAGTTCTGCTAAGAGAGGGTAGGTCCTTTCCTCTTTTCCTTTGAATATTTTCATTACCCCATTAACAAAAGGTGACCAGAGACTTTTCGTTAATAGTATATTCGTTAATATAAAATTTGTAATTCTTGTCCATATTGTAAAAAGTTGTAGTAAAAGTATAAAAGAGTCAGTCGAAATTTATAAGTTAGTTTAACGAATTTTACCTATGAAAAATAAAATTTATTAGCTTAAATTAATGTTAGTGTAGTTTGTATATTTCATATGAGCAATAAGTTAATATATGATAAGTATTTAGAATTGTCTCCTTGGAACTGGAGGTGGTACTAAAATCATATCCATTTTTATTATTACAGGATATATGACCTGTGATAATATTGTCAGCTATGATAGATATATTACATCCTCAAGAAATTCATATATAAAAGGTTGTGATATTTGTTTTAAAATGATGTCATTAAAGTACTTCTCTGGATTTGGTATTTTATTTGCCCAGTCTCTGTCTAAGATTTCTGTTAAGTTTGCAAAATATATTTTTTCACTCTGTTCCTCATGCTGTATTTTAAGTGACTGTATATTAGTCCATGATATCGGAATTACACGTCTAATTAAAAATTTTCCTACATTATTCATTTTGCATGGTTACAATTTGGGTATGAGTATTTCATCATTTTTTTTTAATAATTTTTGATTACATGGTGAGGTTAGTTTTATTAGACCAGGGTAGTTCTAATTGAGTATTAAGTTAGTTAGAATAGTGTTATTAGTGTTAAATGTTCGAATGTTTAAAGTTGGGAGACAGTTAGTTATTGCAAATGTATTTATTCCTATTTGTTTAATTATTACAGATTCGTCTTCTTGTTGATTAACACACTGGAAATAACAATATTTATTTTGTTTATTAAGTGGTAAATTTTTGAAAATAGCTTCTACGAATTTTTGTGTTAAAGTAATATCAGTTGAAAATTTTGGAATGAAACAAAGTACTATACGGGCGGATCGCAATCTCTTAAGGATAGACCTGATATTAAACGGTGTTCTTTGTTAACTGAATTGACTGCGATATAAGTTTTTTCTGAATAGATAAGACATATAGAATCGTTAAATTTGAAATGAGCAGGTATATTTTTGTATAATTTACAATCTGCAAATTTCTCCTGTATAGGAATTTTTATTTTACTATTATTTGATTTTCTGAAAATTGGCATTCTGTAATAGGCAAATTGTAATACACTTGTTGTAAAACAAAAATAAGAAAAGGGAAAGGGGGGGGGATTTAGGATTGAAATGAAAGGGGAAATACGCGGGATCTGACTCTTCACTCGGCCGTATGGATCGAGGGTCTACCGTTGTAAAATAAAGCATGCAGGTTGAGTTCAAATAGTGTTACCTAAATATTTATGTTATCCTTAATGCTGAAGACAGGATTTATGTAATAATAATTTCAACACAAAACAAGTTGATGTCAATCATCAAATGATATAATTATTGTCACTTATTACATAAAATACACAAAAGTGATTCATATGGTAAAAGAAATAGTACATGAAACTTAAATAAAATATTTGTACACACTAATTCAAATATTGTCAATATTATATAAACGATACAGAGAAAAAAGTGCGGAGTTTACTTATAAAACTGGACGTGTTCATTCCGGAGTACGATCGAAACAGGCCGTGTCAGACGAGCCCATGGAGTCCTTCCAAAGTCCCCTTCCAGACACGTACATGACCATCGGCCTTACATTTATTTAGATTCTTTTGTTGCTATTTTGCTGACATTGTAGAAGGATTTTGTAATACTACAGGGTTGTACATGTTGGGAAGGAACGGATGTGTGTGCATGGCGTGATTGTGTGAGTTGTGTGTGTATTTGCAGTCAGTGATAGAAAATGTTGATTGTGTTTTGTAATTTATTGGTGTGTGGGTAGAAGATGAAAGAATAACAGAAAAACATTTTGTTCGGTTGTGTGAAGGGCCTATTACAACACACTGATAAGTTACTTATAGGAATTACTAATGTATAACCATCTGTTTTAATAAATTTTTCGTGTTTTATGAGATCAGTATAAATGATTTCAGAGTTGATTATTCTAGGTGGAATCTTGTGTAATTTACAGTGCAGATGAGTGCTTGAGTCCCTGTTGTTGTTAGTTAAACTTAGTAAGACTTATAATATATTATGGACAACCTCCTGAATACCTAAATATTTATTTTCAGTTTTGGTGGTTTCTATTAAGTTGTTATTATTGCTTTCATGTTTAATCATCAATTCCTTAAATGAATCTCTTAACATATCAAGTTTTGAATTAGTACTCTTTGCGTAGGAATTAAGTTCTGAGATTATGTTTATTAAATCAGAATGGGCGGTGGTAAACGCGTCTTTAAATTTATTAATTTGTTCTTTTAGTGCTACTTCAATAGTATAAAATTGTTTAAGTTGTTTGTCAGTAGCCACATTACAGCAAAAATGAAAGTAATTTCCAAAAACTTGTACATCTCTTTTTTCCTTTTGTTAATAATATTATTAAATTTTTCAAAAATGTCTAAACTGTTTTCTTTAATGTTTTTGCCTACTAGTTTTAATATTTTTAGAGGCTCGTCCATAATATTATAGTAGTTAGAATCTTTACTTTCACAGTGTTTTTCGATTAAATAACCATTTTGTTTATTTTCTTTCGTTTTACTTATCTTCTGGGTATAAATTAAAGGAATACTTTTGTCGTATAAAATTGTATCCGGTATTTCATCGAAGAAGGCGCTAGAAGAAATAGTTACAGCAAGATTTGCTTCAAGTGATTTTTTATTTTTTATTATTAGTAATATAATTGCAAACAGGAATTTTATCTAAAAGAAAAAATAGAAAAACAATGTGCCCCTATAGTTTAAAAAAAAAATCGGTTATTTCCCATTTTATTTACTGCTATAACATTATTATACATTATAATTGAATATTTTTCTTAAAATAAAACCGAATTTCAAATATTTACAATGAAGTATGTAACATGACAAAAGTATCTATTTATTTATTTTTGTCTGTATAACCTGTATATATTTTTGTGTTAAGCCGAATGCGGACTGCGACGGCGTTTGTCAGTCAAATAATCATGATAAGTTGTTGTGATTTGTTTATGCGCGTGCGAGATAGTCAGCTGTGTACTACTTCAGATCGGATCATGGACGGCATTTGTGTGTACATTCACCCTGNTTCATGGACGGCATTTGTGTGTACATTCATCCCGCTCCTTTCCTATCTTGAACGTTATTTGCACTGCTCACCGCATACATTGTCGCCTTATGATTTAAATTGTTCTTAGAAATTTCCGGCACTGTGTATTAAGTTTTTTTTTTTTTGACCCCTATTCTAAAGGCATCCGTGTTGTCGCCAACGGACCGCCGGGTCAAACGTCGGACGGGTTGTCGGAAATTAGCCATCGTTGGAAATGGTACGCTAATTTTCGTCCGTAGCGGTAGTTATTTTTGTTGTGTGCGCTACAACCTTTTTTATATATACAAGGTGTAAATCTTTCGAACCATAGTAATGTATGGGTGAGTATCCTGGTAAAGTGTAAAATAGGGCCTCGTTTTTTTTTTTTTGTNTATACATTATTAATATAAAGTGTAAAATAGGGCCTCGTTTTTTTTTTTTTTGTTGTTTTCCAAAATTGGAGGAATTTTGGAATAACCTCCCTGAATTTCTCTAAAATTAAAAATAAATCATATCACAATATTTCCCGCAAAATTCTCATACAAATTGAATGGTCACTCGATTTTTTGTAATTTTTGCGCCCTCCCCTGAACTTTGGGTTCAAAGTTGGAAAAAAATTTTACATTGCTAATAAAAATGGAGAAGGTACCATAAGATGTTATTATATCCATTAAAAAGTCTATTGTGGCTGCTCCATCGGCATTAACTATTGCCTTTGCAAAAGTAATTTTTGTCGAATTGCAAGTCGCTACGATCAAATATTTTTTCCCTTTAGATATAGGTAACAGACCTA